GAGTGGAACAGCAGCCTTCACCTGAATTTCATAGATTTTGAAAAAGCCTTTGACAGTGTCCACAGGGAGACACTCTGGAAAATAATTTCACTTTACGGAATTCCAAAAAAACTAATAACCATATTCAAAAAGATGTACAGTGGGTATACCTGCTGTGTTTTACATTAGGGCAAGACAACTGACAAATTTGAAGTAACAACTGGTGTCAGACAAGGATGCATACTATCTCCTTTCCTCTTTCTGCTTGCAATTGATTGGACAATGAAGATGGCTACTCTAAGAGAAAAGGAAGGCATACCATGGACACTCACTAGACAACTAGAGGACCTAGACTTTGCCGACGACATATGTCTGATTAGTGCAAATCAAGCACAAATGCAAAGAAAGACAGATAGAGTAGTAAAGCAAGCCAGAAGTATTGGCCTTAAAATAAACAAGAAAAGACAAAGATAATGAAAATCAACCTGAAAATGGAAAAAGAAATAGCCATCGAAGAAAACAAAATCCAACAAACTGACAACTTCATCTATTTGGGAAGCAATCTCAACAGTAACGGAGATATCGAAACAGAAATACAAAGAAGAATTGGACTTGCAACAAATGCCTTCAAAATGCTAAACAAAATTTGGAAAGCAAAACATATCATGTTAAAGACGAAGCTAAAAATTTATTCAAGTAATGTCAGGTCAGTCCTTTTATATGCAGCAGGCAGTTGGAGAACAAATCGAAAAGTTGAATCAAGATTAAGAGGTTTTCAAGGGAGGTGCCTGAGAAGGATCCTAAACATCAGGTGGCCAGATCGGGTAACAAACATGGAAATTAGGAGAAAAACCCAAATAAATGATATAAACGAGGAGATTCGGAAGAGGAGATGTCGACTTGTCAAGATAATCTATCTCGCCATGACAACATACAATTTTTATTATGTCGACTTGTCAAGATAATCTATCTCGCCATGACAACATACAATTTTTATTATGTCGACTTGTCAAGATAATCTATCTCGCCATGACAACATACAATTTTTATTATGTCGACTTGTCAAGATAACCTATCTTGCCATGACAACATACAACTTATATTATGTCGACTTGTCAAGATAATCTATCTCGCCATGTCGACATACAATATGTATTATGTCGACTTGTCAAGATAATCTATCTCGCCATGACAACATAACATTAATATTATCTTGACAAGTCGTCAAGTCGAATGGCACTTATGTGCTTCCGTAGGTAAGAGTTGGTTTTGTTTTATTATTTAGTTAGTTTGCTACTCTAGCAGACACGCTAGCCCCCTCCTAGGCCTAGTAGTAGTGGTAGATGAAAGCTTGAATGAAAAGGCCTGGCTTAGCCTAAGGCCTACAGTAGCTGCACCGGTACTAGCCTAGCCGCCGTACGGAGACAGACAGAACTGAGGTTCTTTGTTCTCCCTAGGCCATTGAGGATATAGGGCTAGGCCTAGAACCTGGGCCTTTTGTTGGCCTAGCTAAGCTGTAAGTTAATTGACCCATAGTCTAGCATGCCATAAGAAGAGTGGTAAATTGCATTTGGGCCGTGTCCTCACAAATTAGACCAGGCTATAATTGAGATAGGTGCCACTTGGAGAGGTAGAAATTCTCATATGGTTTTTCTAGACCAGTTTTTTATGGGGCATCAGAATATGTGAGGTAAAAGGGGTGTAACCTGAGAACTTTCGCGTGAGGGCGCTTTTTCAAAATGGCCGCCAAAACCCAATAAACTACATATATATTGGTAAAATAAGCACAGAAGAGGTAGGTTTTACCAAAAGAGTAAAGTATAACTAGCTAAAGTTATTAATGTGAAGATTTCGGGAGGCAATTGAGGGCGCTTTTTAAAATGGCCGCCAAAATTAAATAACAACGTAACAGCAGCTTCAATACCCTAGATAAATTTATTTAATTTAAAAAACATGAATGTAATAACTGCTGTTGACTTTTTAAACCTAAAAAAACATATTTTAGGGGTGTAAGCTAACTCACTTTTGAAAATGTAAGTAAAAATTCCCCCTTATATTAGCCCTTTTCTGTTTTAAAGAATGGAAAATATAACCAGAATCTTAAAAAATTCCAGCTTCCTTACAAATATCTGGTTGTTTTTCATTATTTCTGTGTGCTATACAAGGCATTCCAGACAACTACCACAATTTTCATGTATGAAGAAGGCATCAATTCATTTACTACATATTTGTCTTGTAGTGTTTAACTATGTTGAGCAATAATCTTCAGGTATCACTTTTATCACTGCAATCTGAAAGTCTTCGTTTATCGTATGAACAATTCTTGGACTTCCACCGGAATTTGTTTATTCCGTCTGTTCCATCAACTATTTTTATTGACAGTCATTTACCTCTGCTTCTTTTCATTCTTGAACGATTACGTTTGCTAAGTATCTGAAGCTCGAGATTCTGCTAACATGGTGGCAACAATGATATGTCAGTGATTTTGTCTCTGCCAAAACTTTCTATTGAACATGTTACTTGCTTGATTTACACTTTTCTCCTTAACTCCAAGCAGCAGTAAGACATACTCTTGTTATTCAGGCAACTTTTGTGACATAACATCTAAAACTCCAGAGTTGCTGAAAGTTTCAACAAACTCAGTTTGTGATTACAGAAGCTACGTTTTCCTTTACGAAAGAAAGCCTGGGTGTAATTGTCTGTAATATCAATGTCTCGAGAAAGGGAACGGATGATTGCTATGCCTTGGTTGTTATTCGTTAAAGCATGCTTTGCATACAGGAAGACTTTCATGTCGGCTTCTTCTTGGTGGTTCTACGGCAGATTGTAAAACCCCAGGTTGCCGACTGCCAGATTGTCGAGTTCACTTTGCCAAAACACAGTTTGCCGAATGCCAGTTTGCTGAATCAAAAACTCTTAGTTTGTTGAAACCCAGTTTGCGCTGAAACCCACTTCATCGGAAATAAAATAAAAGCAGTATGTAAAACATTAACCACAGCATAACATTCATGTTGAAACACTCTCTTACTATGTATTCGTATAAGAAATAGCGGCTTATTGTAGTTAAATGATTCTTTTTCTTTTAATATGTAAAACAATTGGCTATCAGCAAATAAAAGTCAATTTAATAGGCCTCGCAGTTAAAACGTTTTATTAGCATACCTATGATAAATACATAAATTTATTAAAAATAATAATAATGAAGGAAATAAACAAATTAATAATAATCTACAATTATACACGCATGCCAATTGTGGCTCCAGAAATTTGTCGACAGGGGGTCTGACTCAAGGGGCCGACTAGAGCCTCGGTGGTCAGGGACCTGGCACAACAATCCTGATAGGATTTGCAGAGGGAGTATTTTAGAAGGATACGATGCTTATCCTTAATTTCATTTCATTTTCTTCTAATTTTAACTGATAGCCATGCTTTCAAGTGTGTTTTTCTACAGCTTTTTTGTCTTCCAATATTTTTCCTTTTAACTTGTATAAAAATGAAGCTCCTTCCTTTCAAATGCACAGTATGCTGTACTTTTCTAACACAGAGATTTGGACTTGGTTTCGGAAAACTGAGTTTTGGCAAACTGGGATTTCATGATTTCAGTGAAAGATGTGTATAAGAGACAGTTGCTATATTGAGAAATACAGTTGAAATTGCAATAAAAAGAGAAGTCGTTAAAAAGTATAACGTAAAATAAACAACACGGAAACCCAAAATACTTGTAGTATTGAAAAAAAATGTGAAGTAAAAAATAAAGAAAACAAAGTTCACAACTACCGCGAAGTTAGTGAGATTCGAACTACTGCTGCAATGGTAATTAGCGAGATAGGTCTATGGAGACTCTTTACCATTGCGCGCTATGAGCCGACATTTTATTGAATGGCAAAGAGCTGTGATGAGTGTCAGTGCGTGTACTAATGTACATGCAGTTCATATGTTAAAGGATAGTCCTGCAGAATAGCTACATCATTTACGAGTGGGTTTCAGAGATGTGTTTTTAACAGTTATTAGCAATAGTTGCTAAAAGCATGTGAGTGTGTGTACTGCCTTCCTGATTAATTGTACTTCCATCAAACTTATACAATGCCTCCAGAACTCATTTAATTTTGGCCTTCCACTGTGCTTCGATAGTTTACATTTGGTTGTTCATCACAAGCTGGTGCATTAATGAAATAGTTGCTGGAAAAAAATGTTTATAATTTTTTTCCATAGGCCTATCTCGGTCAGAATGATTTTTTTTACA